TGCAGTCCCACCAGCAATGTACAAGTGTACCCTTTTCCCCACATCCTCGCCAGCACTTGTTGTTGTTTGACTTCATAATGGCTGCCAATCTAACTGGAGCGAGATGGTATCTTAGGGTGGTTTTGATTTGCATTTCTCTGACTGCTAGAGATGGTGAGCACTAAAATGGCTTCTTTTCTACATTCATGGAAAGGATTATCTGGGCTAGAAGATTTTATTTTTAGTTATAGTTCCTCCAGCATGTTCCTACTACCCAGGTGTATTATTAGAATGTATCAGGAATTCTTACAATTATCCAAGAAGAATTGCTATCTTTGTTTTAAGGAGGGGCTAAATTGAAACACAAATAAAGGGAAGGTGCTGGGAATCACAGAAGACCTAGGAATGGAGCCAGCAGTTCTAACTCTGATCCTTAATGAAAAAGAAGAGAAGAAAAATAAAAAAGGCCACACCTCTTCTCCCAAGTAATTATGTCTGATCTTTCAATGTGAGTGAAATACCTTTCTTCTATAGTTACGTACAATGTTAACAGCCTTATTCAGAGGCAGTTATTTCTGGATCATAATCACATAATCTTCTTGTTTTGACAAATTCAGAGAAGGTCAAGGAGTCAGATTTTACCCCAGTATGACCTTTTTGCTCTAAAAATAGGCCAATGTTGTCCCGATGGGGAAGCCTGATGGAGCGGCTGAATAATGGCTCTTCAATTCCCAGTAGCTCCCGTGTATGCTGAGAAATCACCTGAAATGCAAGAATAATATTTTTAATGAGACTGACTTGAAAATACAATTAAATAAAAGTTTTATGCAGTTTCCTAGCCCCTTGAATGCTAATCTCTTAAGTGATTTCCGTGGGAAAATTAAAAAATGAAAAAAACATTCACAAACTTATTGTCAAGCATTGAGTATGTGCTTAATTAAAAGTGTTATAAAGTGTGAAAGTATCATTTTGGAATTAGGAAATACAATCTAACCATCAATTCAGTGATTCTAAAAGTATGTTTGAGCTTCATCAATAGACAATGAGGATTCTCTGATGGACTATGTATTTATCTAAAAATGAGTTCTTTCTTTGGTTCTGATGAACAAATAACAAGCAATAGACTTTATTTTTGCCTAAGACTTAAAGCAACTTACTAGTAATTTACTTGAAATTAATAAGGATTATTAGAAATAGGTAATCATGAACATTATTAAGAGTTTTCTAAGGAGTCTTAATTCCACATTCATGATAATGACACACACTCAATGCTTGGCATCTCTGCAGAGCACCTATTTCACATGACTTTAAGCAAATATTTGTAATGCCAGTAATGTTTAAGAAGATTCTATTATTAATATATCATCACTATATTTTCTATTGGTCATGGTTTCAAAGGCTGTTATTTTCGCTTTTATTTGCAAACTATTAATAGTTTTGCTTCAACATTATCAATTTATTATGCACTGTTTGGTTACTTTATATGCACATTTGCCTCATTGGAACTATAATTTACTTTAAACCTAAAGACGTAATTGTCATGGTTCAAATATGAGTCATCTCTACCACTATTATAATGCGGTTGTATAGTCTCTTTAAAATTTGCTTGTTGATTCCTGTAACAACACAGATTAGTCCGAAATGCATCATGCTAAGGGAAAAAAGCCAGATCCAAAAAAGCCAAATAATCTATATATTATTTGGTTCCATTTAGGGATATTTTTAAAAAGGCACAATTATATGGACAAACAGATCAGTGTTTTTGAGGGTTTGAGGTAGAAGGATAGGCCAAATACAAAGGGGATACAGAGAAGTTTTAGGGTATATGGTTTTCTGGTGGTGAATACATGGCCCTATGCATTTGTCAAACCCATAGAACTATACTTTACAAACAATGACTTTAGTGTATGCAAAATCCCTTGGGTAAACTCCAAGATGGCATATAGACTGTGGACAAATAAATCTAACTATATTACAAACTAAGACATAATTTACCTGCAAGGAGTGGGGGAGAATGGAGCAAATCTAAATAACTTTAACTTTGGAAAATAGTGCTTTGTCTAGATAATGTAAGACTAAAGACAAAACTACACACAAACACTGTACTCTATTTGGTAAATTTCTCACAGAATACTATTTATAGATAAATCAGGTTTTTCACTGTCAGAAAATAAATTACAAATAAACAAGTGGGTTTGGAGGTAGGAAGGAGATAAGAAAAGGCTAAAATAAATCGTTTTATGTTGAACTGGAGTTAGATCAATATGAATACTTATTGTATTATATAATACTTATATATATATGGATACAGAAATAAGATAGATATTTGTGTACACATAGGTTAGTATGTATACATATACTTCTAAGATCTTTCTACTGAAAGTACCTAGAAGCATGACACTCCGGTAGGAACAAGCACAACTAGTGCTCATATTTTAGTTTCTAAACACTCTTCTCTGATAAAAGCAACCAGGGCCAAGACATGGTTGATTGTAGGGCTGCAGCAAGGAAAATGTAAGATGTTCCTGAAGCTAATAGTAGTGCCAGAAAGTAGGGAGATACTTTTTTTTTTTTTTTAAATGGGGCATGTCAAAAGGACACAGGAACTAATTTAAAAGAGCTCCCAATTAAAAAAGAAGAAAATGGAATAATTTGAGCAACAAAATACATAACAGTATTGGCTTGTAACCCAAAGAATAAATGTCCATTAATCCAAACTAATATAAATGAAGAGATAAAAACTGAGGGGAAAGGGACAATTAAATGTAGAAGAACTTCAGAATAATTCTAACTACACTGAAGAAAGGAGGAAAATAGAAAATTATCACTAAAACAACATAGTAGTAATTTAGCAGGCAAGACCCATTGATGAATGCTAAGATTAGTAGGCAAAACTCTGAAAAGCAGATGTTTGCATAGCTTCAGACTATCCTCTCCAATATATTTATCGCTGTGGTAGTTTCACTGTATTTTCATAAATTTTTGATACTCCTCACTCTAAAAGATGGAGCCTAACTCTTCTCTCCTTAAATATGGGCTGGAATTAGTAACTTGCTTCTAAAGAGCAGATATAAAAGGGAAACAAAGTAACTTTATAGTAAGGAAATCTGGCTGTCACCACATTAAACAAGTGATCAGGTTAAGTTTCTAGTAATAAATCATGTTGATATCATGTAGCCCTGATATGATGAGAAGGGCTTATCACTTCTTTGTTAGTCTTCCCCCAAATCCATAATTTTAGTCTAATAATGGGAAAGATCAGAGAAACTAAAATTGAAGGAAATTTACATAATATCTTATCACTGATCTTCAAGTGTCAAGTTCATGAAAAACAGATCAACAAACTATCACGTTATAAAAGACCAAGGAAACTTGACAGCTAAGTCCAATGTAATATCCCAGACTAGATCCTAGAAATAAAATTATCCATCTGTGGAAATATGAATAAAGTCTGTTGTTTAATAAATAAAGTACTATGTCAATGCTATATTCTTAGTTTTAATAAATACACTATAGTTGCATAAGATGTTAACATTAGGGGAAGCAAGGTTCAAAGTATACAGGAACTCTCTAAACTACCTTTGCAACTGTTCTGTTACATTGAAATTATTTACAAATTAAAAGATTTTTTTTTTTTAAAAAAGGAAACATGTCTGTTTAGAAATCTCAATTTCTGACAATGGTATGAATCTGTGCTGCTTAAATAATTCATAACAAGGCCAAATGCAGAAGAATTACTGAGAGACTGTGAAATTTATGAGGCTATACTTTAGAATACAAAATCATGCATACAAAATGAATTAGCAACTCATCTATGTTTGTCTCCAAATATTTATCAGATTCTTGTTTACTTCATGTAGTAAGTAGTAGGTATTTTGAGAAAAATTTTCTAAGAAAAATGAAATTTTTTTCAGAAACAAACAAACAAACAAGTAAGGGTAATTCTCTTTTGTCTGGCATGTCCCTAGAATAAATAAAACTGACTTATTTAAGAGTTATCAGGTAAATTGTGAATGTATTGGTTGCTATAATTACAATAGTGGGATTAAAAATGCTTTCTACAGAGGTTGGTGTTTTAGCTCAGTGGCAGAGAGCTTACTAACACTCTCAAAGCCCTGGGTTTGGGTTCATGGCACAGCAAAACAAACAAGAAAATGTTTCTTCTATAAGTAAGAAAGGTGACTACAGCATACTTAAATGCATGAATGAGCTCTAGGAAGTCACCCTTGTGTTAGAGTAGAATTTACTTTTTTATGTGGATTTAACTGTCAAGCAAAGTTTATGCAATATATCTCTGAATGTACGGGCTTTTTAAAAAATATTTTCTTAGTTGTATTTATTTGTTTTTATGTGGTGCTGAGTATCGAACCCAGTGCCTTACACATATGAAGAAAGCGCTCTACCACTGAGCCCCAGCCCCAGCCCTGAACGTACTGCTCTTTATGTTATTCTAGTCACCTTATGGAGAGGCCAAATTTGTCTGGTGACTTTGAAAACAAGTATTATGAAGTTTGCTTATTCAAACTTTTTGGGATCTAAGGACAAATAAGGGTGTTCACCATTTACTTTTGAAGATTTCAGAAGATTTTTAAGACCTCTCCTTTGCTTACAAGACCAGAAGAATTTTAGGGTTTTTATTATTGCACATTGATACTGTACTTTTGGGATTAGAATATTAAGTAATATGAATTTGACTCTTAAAAAATGCTTTCTTAGATGGACATGGTGGTGCCAGCTACAGGGAGACTGAGGAAGGAGGATTGCATATTCAAGGTTAGCCTGGGCAATTCAGTGAGACCCTGTCTCAAAATAAAACAAAAAGGGCTGGAGATATAGCTCAGACGTAGAATGATTGCTCAGAGGGAAACACAGTAACTTTAGAGTAAGGAAACCTGGCTGTCATCACGTTAAACAAATGATCAGGTTGTTGTACAAGGCCCTGGGTTTGATCCCCTGCACTATAAGAAAAAAAAAGCTCTCTCATGATAAAGAGCTTTAAGTGTTTTAGGAGTTTGGATTACAAATTACTATTTTGTTAATCCTGTTCCTTATTTAGGAAAATTCATTACAGGTAGAAATAAGATCTTATAATTATAGCTGTATTATCTTTGAACATAAAAATAGTAAGATTTTTATCTGACAGTATTTGGTAACTATGTGAGGGCATGGTTGGAAATACCATATATAAGTAGTCCTTCTCATATTTCATACAGGGAATTTCATGGTTATAAGAGTGTTCATTTAGCGAGGCAGTACAGGAGTGATTTAAATAGGACATGGATTGGGGAGTCACATAGAATGGATTTGAATATTGTCTCTTAAACTTATCATCTGAATAAACTCTTGTAAATTGCTTCACCTTTATGGGCCTCAGTTTTCTCTTCTGAAAAATGAGGATTAGGTGAAATAACATATGTATGGTGCCCAACACATAGTAACCACTTGGCAAAGGATAGCTATTAGCAGAATTCAAGGCTTGTGTTTAATAATTCAAAAAAATTTTCTTATATCTCAGTGCCAGTAAAAGGACTTGAATAGTAATAAGTGTAATTTTCTTATTTTTGGAACCATATATCTTATGGAATTACATAGTTCTAAGTTCTGAAAGATCCTAGAAAACTGATTCCACAGCCTGAACCAGGCCTAATGAATTAAAACCTCTGGAGGGTGGAGCCTAGAAATCTACCTTTCAAAAAAAAAAAAAAAAATGGGGCTGGGGTTGTAGCTCTGCAGTAGAGTGCTTGCCTAGCACGTGCAAGATTCAATCCTCAGCACCACATAAAAACAAACAAACAAACAAATAAATAAAGGTATTGTGTCCAACTACAACTAAAAAGAATATTTTTTAAAAAATCTTGGATTCTGAAGACTATCCATGTTTGGTAATCATTGAAGTACAGCATTTATGGGCATGGTTGTAGAGTGTGAACCCTGTTATGTTGGGGTGGGGCTGCTAGTGCAAAGTTTACAATTAAGATTATGTATGTGATGCTTTATATATTGTAAACACTACAAATGGAAGGTAATATTTCTTTATCTATATATCTATTTATTTATTTTGGTGCTGGGGATTGAATCCAGAGCCTTGTACATGCAAGGCAAGCACTCTACCAACTGAGCTATATCACCAGCTCTAAGGAAGGTAATATTTTTTTAAAAAATTTTGTAGTGGTAGATAAACAGCATGCCTTTATTTTATTAGTTTATTTTTTTACACGGTGCTAAGGATCAAATCCAGTGCCTTACACATGCTAGGCAAGCGCGCTGCCACTGATCTACATACAGCCCCAGCCCATGTAAGGTAATAGTAAGGAAAGGAGAGTGATCACGGACTATTGGTGTTGGAGAGATGAGGCCCAGGGAGCTTAAAGTAACTTGTTTCAATGTTAGGCAGCAAAGCAGACAAAACACATGTGGTGTTACATAAATGCTAAGTGGGTATCAGAGACAAAGTGTTATGAGAATTTGAGAAGAGGGATTATATGGGATGGCAAGGTCAGGAAAGACTTCTTGGGGAGATGAGAATGAGAAATTGGTCTTGAAGGAAGATTAAGATTCATATTAGAAAAACAGGAGAAGAGGATCTGAGCAAAGACACAGAGGGAGGCATGCACCAGACAGGAGTGTGAACTGAGAGAGCCTGGCAGGTTCAGCAAAGATTCACTAGAGGAGTGGAGGGGAGTGAATGTGGTTGGAGAAAACTTGTGGAGGGCCTTGAATCCTAAACTATGGAGTTGGGACTATGGTATGAACAGAGGGGATCCAAAGAAGATTTCCAAATAATATATGAGTGGTTGGACATTGAAGGTCTAAAGACAGATCCCTTGAATCCAAAGAGCCTAAGGAGAGAGGCTCAAAGTGACAGGCTACTTTAAGTGTACAAGGCATGAGGCAATAGGGCCTGAAAATCAGGGATGGAGAGAATCAGCCAGTTGAAATGCCACAGGAGAAACTGACAGTTCTTGGGATGTTTGTAGGGATCAAAGGACAGAGAGGAAGCAATCACTGTGAGCCTGGGAGGCTGGGAGGACAATGACACCATGGTCAGAAATAGGATCAAAAGAAAAGGAGGTTTGTCTGGGATTCATGGTAGCATTGGTACAGTGCTCCTCAGGGACACTTTGTATACAACTCACCTTCATGTCCTCAAAATCTGTTATCCCCATCTGAGGGAGGTTTGAGCAATTTACATGGATGAGTTTTCGGCCACTAATGAAATTTGTGGTAAAACACTCCTGTCAGTACAAAAAGAACAACACTTAAAAATGTTCTGCAGCTAGGAGGAGGAAAAAGGAGGGAGGGAGAGAAGGATGAAGGACAGAATGGAATCATGTTAGTCTCCAGCCCTATACTGAGAAAAAAATTAAATTCATTTTGTAATCTAATAGTACAACATATTTTCTGTTTAAGCTCTTGATAAAATTTCAGGCTAATTAAATTTTTTTTGGGGGGGTGGGGCATGCTACAACCAATGATTCTTCACGTCTCCTTTCCTTTCCTTTTTTTTTTTTTTTTTTTCCAGTACTGGAGATGGAATCCAAGGCCTCGCACATGTTAGACAAGTGCTCCACCACCAAACTATATCACCAGTCCTTTTAATTTTATTTTGAAACAGAGTCAAGCTAAGTTGCCTTGAACTTCCAATCCTCCTGCCTCAAGCCTCCTGAGTAGCTGGTTTCAATTACATTTTTAAGTACAAGAGGTAAAGATTTCAGATCTTGTGATGTTTTGTGGTAGCCTAAAATCTTAGTTGGAATTAGTAAATTAAGAGACTTAACACTATGTTTTTGATAAAGCTATTTTGGGTTAATTGACTAACTCACTACTCTTAAGTGTTCATGGTACATGACATATTTGGGGCATACACAAAAATTTAACAGTAAAAGTTCAAGGTAAGGGAGTTGCCACTAAAACAACTTGACAAAGTACCAGAAAGTCTACCTTGGACAAAATCTATTTTAAAATATAGGTTTTTGTTTTTGTTTTTTAATGAAAAGAGGCCTATAGAAATTTATTGGTCTTTTTTCAAAGACTGCAGAGAAATATAATCACTGGAATAAAGAGGAAAAACAAATGATTTATTACTAATTATTATTATTATTACTGTTTGTATACGAGGTACACATACTAGGTACTTGGGATTGAACTAAGAGGTCCTCCCCCACTAAATTATATCATTACCCCCTTTTTAATTTTGAGATAGGGTTATGCTAAGTTGCCCAGATGGCCTCAAACTTGTGATCCTCCTGCCTAAGCCTCCCAAGTCCCTGGGATTATAGGCATGAGCTGCTGCGACTGGCTTATTCATGTTTTTAAGATGGACCCTTGTTATGTTGTTGCCCAAGCTGGTCTTGAACTCTTGGACTCAAGTGATGTTTCTTTGTCAGCCTTCCAAGTGTGAGAACTACAGGTGCATGCCACAGCACCTAACTTTTGAAAAAACAAACATGACCCTCCCTTCCTCTCCTAAAATACAAATATATATCAGTGGCAAGGGTGGAGCTCAGTGGTAGTGTGCTTAGCACGTGCAAGGCCCTGGGTTTGATCCTCAGAAACACACACACACACACACACACACACACACACACACACAGTCCAGATTACCTTCCCCAGAGTCCAGGACTTTTCTGTACTCCTAGTGAAGAAGAGGGAAGACCTCAGGTCAGGGTAGAGGAAGTATGAGGTAGGATGAGAGCATATGATTTTTAAAAGTGTTATTTTTGTTACCTTGTATTGAGGGAAGCCTAGCTGGCTAATCCATTCTGCAACATTCTCTGGGTTCCATTTAAGATATTCGAATTGTAATGCAGTTTCCTTTTCTTTTGGCTGGGATGTTTTATCTTTAGGTGCTGTTTCTTTCAATTCTTGGCCTGAATCTATAATTTTCTTTTCACTAAAGGCCTTTCTTAAGCCTGTCTGAGTCTCTGGGAGGTCTAAGATATCAACAAGATGAAGCAGTTTTGGAAGTTTTGAGGGATACTCATAATTTGTACTAGTTGATTCCATTTCACTTTGTGTGAGACGTCTAGATGCATAGTCTTTTTTAAAAGTTGTGTCAGTTTCTTCTACCGACACTTTAATGGTTTGAAACTTGGGGTATTCTAGCTGATCCTTATCCATAGCATACTTAGATTTGATTGGTGCTGGCTCTTCTTCCTTGAATAATTCTGAATGTTTCTCTCTTGGTTTGATTTCATCTGGTAACTTTAGATTTTCCTCCTCAGTTGGCTCCATTTGTGTCTTGTCTTGAACTTTAGGTTTGGTCTTCTTTGGTGGCATTTGGCCTGTTTCCTCAATTGATTTTCTTGGTTCCTTCTTTGGAAACTTTGATTTAGACTGTTCTGGTGGCTCTAGACCTTTCTCCTCAGTTGACTCCCTTGGTGTTTCCCATGATTCAGACTTCTCTGATGGAGCAAGTCCTATATTCTTGCTTGATTTTCTCCGCTTCTCTTTATGATCTGTTGGTTTGGTATTCTTTGATAGTTCTAGAACTTTTTCCCGAATTGACTGTTTTTGTGTCTCCTCTTGAACATTTGGTTTGACCTCATGTTGTAGTACTAGACCAGTCTCTTCTGCTGTCTCTGGAATCTTTTCCTCAGTTGACTTTCTTTTTGTTTCCTTAGGAACTTGTGATGTGGTCTTTTCTGATGGCTTTAGATTTGTTTCATTAATTGTTTTTCTTAATTCTTCCTCAGGAAGCTCAGATTTGACCTCATCTAGTCGCTCTGGAACTTTCTCCTCAGTTGACATTTGTTGTATCTCCTCTGGAACCTCTAGTTTAGTCTCTTCTGGAGGTTTTAGATCTGCTTCCTCAGTAGACTTTCTTGATTTCTGGTCTGGAAACTCTGGTTTAGACTGCTCAGTTGACTTTCTTTGTGTCTCCTCTGGAATCTCTGGTTTGGTCATCTTTGTTGGCTGTAGATCTGTCTCTTCAATTGATTTCTTTGGTTTCTCATTTGAAAAATCTAGTTTGGACTGCTCTGGAGGCTCTAGATCTGTTTCCTTCTTCTGCTCTCTAAGTGATTCCTCTGGAACCTCCTGTTCAGACTCCTTTAGTAACTCTAATCCTGTCATATTGATTGTGGTCCCCGGAACCTCAGACTTGGTTTCCGCTGGTAACTGTATATCTGTTTCTGAAGCTGATTCTGTGAGTACATCCTCTGTAACATCTGATTTAGCCTCCTCTTGTGGCTCTAGGTCTGGTGCCTCTAAATCCTTGTAAAGCTCGTCTCCCATCTCTCCCAATGACTCTGACTTTAACACTTGGGGAATCCCTAAATCAGTCTGGCTAGATGGCTCTACCTCGATCTCCTTAGGAATTTCTTCCTCAGACGTCCAGGTTGGTTTTGGCTGCACATTCTTTGCAATCTCTGACTCTTCCTCTTTCTCAGTTTCTAGTGGCTGTGGCACTTGGTCATTTTCTGGGGATAGCTCGTAGCCTGCCTCTGTCTTGGTGTCTGGTTCGGCATTTTCAGACAATTTACGAAGTTCAGGCCTCTCAGGCTTTGACTTCTCATTTTCATCAGGACTAGAATCATAATCTTCTGGGACTTTCTCCATTACGCAGTTCAATGGACGCGCCTAGGCCTCCTAGCAACCTCAACTTCCGACAGCGTCTCTATGGATACTACGATTTCCGGCAGTGTCTTCCTGAATCTTCCTCACGTTTTGTTGATTCTAACCGATTCCAGATTTTAAAAATTGGCGATCAAAGGCAGCCAGTAGCCCTCCTCGCGTCCGCGTCGCCAGCCTCCGCGGGCCAGACTACTGGGGCCGCATCGGGGCCGGTGCGCTCTTCCCGCGGTGGCCGCGCCGCTTCTTCCGGCCCCAGGCTCCCTCGGCTATTCTCGGCTCGCAGCCGCCGCGCTCGCGCGGCCTTCGGCTGTTTCCGGAGCCGCCGGCGGCTGGTGGCGGAGACGCTCCGGGCGCGGGCTGCAGATGTCGGACTGGCAGGCGGCTGAGGGGCCGGGCTTCTGGAGCCCCGCAGCCCGCCGAGGGTCGGCGGGCGGCGTCGGGGACAGCTCCGGAGTGGAGGGGAGCCTGGCGGCCGCCGCAGGTACGCATTGTCAAGGCGCTGGCGGGTGGGTGCCGCCCGCCTCGGGCCCCGCATTTCGGCGCGAGTCCCTGCGGCGCTCTGCCCGGGGTCCCGGGCCGCGCGGACCCACCTCCGCAGCCCCTTCGCGCGCGGGGCCCGCTCCCCCTGAGACGCGACCTTGTCCCCGCCGCCGCAGCCACCCGGGCCCTGAGGGCGCTCGAGGTTATTTTGTTCTCCGTTTCGAAAAGCCTCGGTTCCTGCGGCGCTTCCTTTCAGACCAGCCCAGGTGGCAGTGACAGGGTTGCTCTGCTGGCGTCCCTCGAGCTGCGGCCGGGGTTCGCTAGCGTCTCCGTGGGCCCACGCACCTGGGCTGCCGCCTCCCGCTTCTGTCTCCCCAGCCGACCCCAGGTCTGTCCCCTGCCCCTGTCTTTCCACGCGCTTCTCCCTCATCCGGGTTGGCAGCGTCGCTTTCGCGTTCGCCTAGGTGCACTCAGGCCCCCGGTCCATCCGTGCACTCGCCGCCACCCCCTCCTTCCCCCGGGCGGGAGCGGGACCGCACAGGTAGGCGCTGAGGTCTCCAAAGAACACAGTAGTCAAAGCAAAGGCCGCAAACCGGCTGCAGTAGGAATTTTGGCGATCTCCCCCATTCCCCAAGACTCTCATGCTCTTGTTCAGAACTGTCCATTTCCACCCAAGCAAGTTGCTCCGTTTGGGTTACTTCACTGTGCAAAGATGAAAGGGACAATGTATTCCACTTTTACCTTTCAGTCTGGGGATCACCACACCAAATGCATCTAAAAGGATGGATGGTCTCTGAAATACAGAAAGGGAGAGGGGAGAGAACTGGGCGCACCAAGCAGTAAATAAATCATTTTCCAGGCTTGAAGTTAAAGTGACACCATGAAGTACAGTGGTTGAGGGACATCTGTGGAGCCTAGATTGGAGTATAGTTCCTCCTCCTTAAGTAAACTTGGGCAAGTCCCTTAACTTCTCTTTCTCACTTTCATTCTCTGTAAGATGTGGGTACTGATAGTGTTTGCCTTATAGGATCCTTGGGAGGATTGTATGAGGCCTTGAGTCTAACACACTTAATATGAAGCCCAAGGTACCCACTACATTCCGTTATCCATTATAAGACTAAAGCCCGGTTTTGCTCAGCTAAACTCTCAGTGCTGCCAGAGGAGATACTCCTGGATGTATCTCTTTTAAATGGTGGTGGCTTTCCTACTTGTACCCCAGATGTCTCCCATCTCATAATGTTACTTCACCCAAACACATGCACCCATACCTGTGAACCACCCAACTTTTTTTTTTGCATGCCTTTTTTTTTTTTTTTTTTTTTTTTTTTAATTTAAAACATCTAACAGCCAGGATGGTGGTGCATGCCTGTAATTCCAGCAGCTTGGGAGGCTGAGGCAGGAGGATCACAAGTTCAAAGCTAGCCTCAGAGACTTAACTAGGCCCTGTCTCTAAATAAAAATACAAAAAATGGCTGGGGATGTAGCTCAGTGGTTAAGTGCCCTGGGTTCAATCTGAGGTAGAAACCCCACCCCCAAACAACAGCAACAGCAACAACAGATAAAACATCTAACAATTTTTGCCTTTTAAAATTTTGAACTTTTTGTGCTTTATGTTAAATTAAAAATTAGTGGCATATATTTAGTATTAAAGCCATAGAAATTCTAAGCAGGGGTGGGGTTGTCACTTGTTGGTAGAGCACTTGCCCAGCAGTGTGAGGCCCTGTTTCTCATTCCCCAGTGCTGGGGGGTGGGGGGAAGAAATTCTTTTTTTTTTTCAGTAATTTTTAAAAATTTCCTTGAAAATTTTATATCTTTTTAAAAATTTTATTTATTCTGTCTTGTTATGTATGAGAGCAGAATGCATTTCAATTCATATTACACATATAGAGCACAATTTTTCATGTCTCTAGTTATACGCAAAGTAGAGTCATACCATTTGTGTCTTCATACATAAATTTATTGAATGATGTCCATCTCATTCCACCCTCTTTCCTACCCCCATGCCTCCTCCCTTCCCCTCACTCCCCTTTGCCATATCTAAAGTTTGTCTATTCCTCCCATGGGGGGCTGGGGAAGAAATTCTAAGCTAATTTCTAAAAGAAATATTAAGTAAACAAGCACCTATAAAGGCTATGTCTTTCTGGGCATGGTCAAATTTCTGTAATCCCAGTGATTGGGGAGGCTGAGGTAGGAGGATGCCAAATTCAAGGCCAGCATGGGGAACTTAGTGAGACTGTGTCTCAAAAAGAGCTGGGGATTGTATCTCCCTTTGGAGATAGCCTTCATTCTCTCTTGAATGTGTTTTCCTTGCTTTACCCCAAAGTTGTCTCTCTCTCTCTCTCTTGAAATTATTCCCCTTACCCCTTGGATAAGTATCTACTTTTCTAAGTAAACCTCTGTCTGTGCCTTTGGTGGGGGGATGTAGCTCAGTAATAGAGCCACTGGGTTCAATCCCCAGCACTGAAAAAAAAAAGTGTATGTTTCATAAACACCCCTGTGTGTGTGCGCCAGTATTTACAAATTGAACATGTTATAACTTTTCTTTTAGGTTCTCATGTGTTTATGACAATCATATCCAAGCATTTTGTTTTTTATGGTGCTGGAGATTGAATCCACGGGCCTTCCCACATGCTAGACAAATGCTCTACCCCTGAGCTACACCCTCAGCCCAACTCACATTTTATTTTATTTATTTTTTTTTTTAAAGAGAGAGTGAGAGTGAGAGAGAGAGAATTTTTAATATTTATTTTTTAGTTATTGGCGGACACAATATCTTTGTTTGTATGTGGTGCTGAGGATCGAACCCGGGCCGCACACATGCCAGGCGAGCGCGCTACCGCTTGAGCCACATCCCCAGCCCCCCAACTCACATTTTAAATAGAAAGATCTTAAGTATATATTTGAAGATGGTGGATTTGTTTCTGAGTGTGGTTCCTCCCTCCCCTGACTGGTTCTTACGTTCATGTCTTCCTTCAAGGGCATTGGTAGAAATGCTTTTACTTTCTGCTTTTCCTCAGAAAGTAATGTGACAGTTGATTTCTGTTTACGTCATGTAGGGATTTATTATTGCAGTCCAGGTTAAGCTCTTCCTTTTGAGGTAAGATTTATTGCTAATAATAGGAATGATAGCTTATATATATTGAATGCTTACTCTGTGCCAGAATACAGAAAAAGAGTTACTTGTTACTATCTGATTTAATTTTTCCAACCATCATTTTCTTATCATTTTATAGAGGAACAAAGTATACACGAGAGAGGGTAATTTAACTTATCCAAGTTAGATTTAGAATTTTTACTGACTATATGAAATTGCCACCTGTGATGTTGAAATTTGCAGTTGTTTCTTTTTGTTGTCCACCGAGTATTGGCATTCCAGGAAAAAATATAATTTTTACCCTCAAGGTATTTTTAGTTTGGTGAGATGAGAATTCCATAGTTTAAAAAAATGTACAGTTATGTTATATGATTGGGTGTCTTTAATTAAAGTTCTTCATGTACTAGTCTCCTAAGCCATCTCCTTGAAGGTAGATATGTAATCTGTCTTGCCTATTTTTTCTCCTGGAACCCTTGATGACTTATCTTAGAGGTTCTGTAAATGTTGGCTGAGTTGGATAGTGAAAGAAAGTGCCAGCAGAAAAATTTGAAGGAGCATCCATGAATGTGGGGAAATTAGGGCTGAGATAAGCCAAGAATGCTTCTTGGGTTAGAGCAGTAGTTCTCAACCAGGAATGATTTTGCATCCTTAGAGAACATGTGGCAATGTCTGGAAACATTTTTGGTTGTCAAACTGGGGGCACCTATTATTGACATCTGGTGAGTATAGGCCAGAGATGTTGCTGTCATCCTGCAAAGCACAGGACTATCTCCGCAATGAGAATTCGGCTCCAAATGTCAGTCGTGTTCCTTTTGAGAAAATCCCAGGTCAGAGTTAAACTGGGTTTCCGAGACACTGTGGAAAGGCTGCATTTAGCTTGGATCAGAATTTTATAGACTTGGGAGTAAACCTAAAAAACTTTAAAATTAGAAGTTTGTCTGGATCCTTCTGCCCTTTGCACTGGAAAATGATCTGGTAAGCAGTGGAGAGCTGCTAAGAAATGAAATTGCAAGAGGTTTTTTCTTTATCTTCTGTTAGAAAACATCAATAAAAAAATGAGGTTAGATAGTCACTTGTTATTGAATTAAGGATTTTGTTTTTTTTTTTCAAAGTATCTTATTCTTTCAAAGCAGGAATTTGCCATATCCAAAGTAACTATAACTTGTTTTTAAAAATTGTACTCTGCAGAGGGTCTTAACGTTTGTTAGCTGAAGTTGTGGTGAAAAGGAAATCGGCTTATGTTCTTATGAACTAACTCTGCAGTGGTCATGGTGTTCTTATTGTTTTATGAACTATAATTGTTTTTAATAGTTTTTTATTTGGGGCACCTGGGTCCTCCAGTTCCCAAAGGGAGAAGGGAAATCATTCTTTATGTCATGAAACTCTCTGAGGCACACACGTTGCATCATTTCAGAGCAGGTAATTTGTTAAGTCTAGAGAACTTTGGGGAAAATAAAATGCAAAGTCTTTTACGGAAGCAAGAACTTAGTTTGGTATACATGACCCCAAGAGCTATCAGTGCGTTTAGATATTAAGGACTGGAAATAGATCAGGTAAATTTGTTTCTGGATCTAATGTAGGTCTAAGAGCAGTTAAGTCTTTTTGCAGTGTTAGAAATATTCTGTATCTGTGGCCATTTTAGTGGAAATTAATTAATTTAAAAATTGGTAGTTACTATATTGGATGGTGCAGAAAGGTAGAAGTTTATGCTGAAGAGCCTTTATTAGTTTTCTATTGTGATTTTATTTCAGAACATTAAAATTTTGTATGGCTATTTTTTCTAGTAGTGGTATTATTTTTACAGTGTTAGTTGATTAGTCATGTCATAATTTGGTCCATGTAGTTCATTCCAAGAAATGTAATCTGAATGACCATTCAGGAGCATGCCCCTTCTTAAAGGCTGGGGA